CCATTCGCCGCACTCCTCGCTTGGAGACCCCCCGGGTTTCCCGCCTCGGCCGTCTTCGCCACCTCCGCAGCCTGCTGCTGTGGACTCTGGAGCTGAGGCTGCTGCAGCTGGGCCTGGGAGTGGTACGTCTGGGGGTGACTGCTCTCCTCGTTTGGCTACCCCCCCCGGTTTCCCGCCTCTGCAGCCTTCTGCAGTGGACACTGGAGTTGAGACTGAGGGTCCTGAGCCTGCGGGTGCTGGGACTGAGGGTACTGAGCCTGCGGGTGCTGGGAATGAGAGTACTGAGCCTGCGGGTGCTGGGACTGAGGGCACTGAGCCTGCGGGTGCTGGGACTGAGGGTACTGAGCCTGAGGGCACTGAGCCTGGGGGTACTGAGACTTTGGGTGCTGACTCTGGGGGTGCTGAGACTTCGGGTGCTGACTCTGGGGGTGCTGCGAGTCCTTCTGGAGGTCCTGGAGCTGGAGGTACTGGAGCTACTAGGCCTGGAGGTACTACTGGAGGTACTGGAGCTGCTGTTGGTGCTGAAGGTGCTGGAGCTGGAGGTACTAGAGGTGCTTCTGGTGCTGGAGGTGCTAGAGCTACCACTACTGGAGGTACTGGAGGTGGACAGCCACCGCAGCCTGCTCTACTTGAGACGCTCTCGCCGCAGGCGATTCGTGCGTGGGTCGTTCGACGAGGCAGTCCTGGTGGTGGAGGGTACGGTCCGGGTGGTGCTGGAGCTACTAGTCCAGGAGGTGCTGCTGGTGCTGGAGGTGCTGGAGGTACTACTGGAGGTACTAGAGGTACTGCTGGTGCTGGAGGTGCTGCTGGTGCTGGGGGTACTGGAGCTGCTGCTGGTGCTGGAGGTGCTGGAGGTGCTACTACTGGAGGTGCTGCCGGTGCTGGAGGTCCTGGAGCTGGAGGTACTGGAGCTGCTGGTGCTGGAGGTACTCCTGTTACTGGAGGTGCTGGGGGTGCGGGAGCTGGTGACCCTGGAGGTGCTGGTGCTGGAGGTACTGGAGGTGCTGGAGCTACTGGTCCCGGAGGTGCTCGTACTGGAGGTGCTGGAGCTGCCGGAGCAGGTGGTGCTGCTGGTGCTGGAGGTGCTGGAGGTGCTACTGGAGCTGCTGGCACAGGAGGTACTGGAGGTACTACTGGTGCTGGAGGCGCTGGAGCTGGAGCTGGAGGCACTGGAGGTGCTGGAGGTACTACTGGTGCTCGAGGTGCTGGCGCTGTCGGGGCTCGTGGTGCTGGAGGTGCTGGTGCTACTGGTGCTGGAGGTGTTGCTGGGGGTACTGGAGGAGCTGCTCCTACTGGAGGTACGGGAGCTACTGGTGCTCTTCGCCACCTTCTCAGTCTTCCGCCAGGTGCTACTGACTTCCCTGTGGCAGGTACTACTCCTCCGTTACTGTTTCCACCGGCGGACCAGTCACAGCTGCCGCTGCTACTGTACTCCCCACTGCCTGCTCCTGCTCCTTACACTGCGGTGACACAGTCCCTGACTGAGCGTCGAGAGCCTGAGACTCGTGCTTCCACCCCTGAGCGTCGAGAGCCTGAGTCTAGCTTTGACCTTGAGCCTGAGCCTAGAGCTGCTGTCCGTGCTCGTGTTTCTCGTACTCGTCGTCCGCGTGCTCCGGCTGTCCCCGGCACTCACGATATGACACTCCGTCCTTCCTCTGTTCCTCAGCGTGTTGTCCTACCGTTACCTCCTGCGTCCTCTCTGCCTTACGTTGCTGACCCTCCGTCTGACCTTGCTCGTGCGTCCAGTCCGACTGTTACTCGCCTTCTTGCCACGGTTGTGACGGACCCTACGTTCTCGTCTCCTGCTGCGTCTGCCCTAGTAGCTGAGCTCGTTGACTTTGCTGCTGTGTACCGCCTCGACTACCTTGCGAGTCTTGTCTCTGACCCTGTCCCTGCCTGTCCTCCGTCCGTCGGGGGTGAGACTGCTCTTGGCTGTACTGCCCTTGGCTGTGACGTTCTTGAGGACAGGCAGGAGGAGCTGGAGTGCCTTGCGGCCGCTTCACCCCATCACGCGACCATGCTGCTTGCCCCTGAGGGAGACCCGGATGCACTTGACATCCCCACCCCGCGCTCCTACAGGGAGGCGATTTCGGGTGAGTACTCCTCTCAGTGGCAGATAGCCATGGACGAAGAGATGGCTTCCTGGAAGTCCACAGGCACCTACGTCGACGAGGTTCCCCCACGTGGGGCGAACATCGTCAGTGGCATGTGGATTTCCAGGGTGAAGCGGCCGCCGGGTTCTCCGCCTGCCTTCAAGGCACGTTACGTTGCTCGAGGCGTCAGTCAGCGTGAGGGGGTCGACTTCTTTCAGACCTTCTCCCCCACCCCGAAGATGACCACTCTTCGGGTGTTGCTACACGTTGCAGCTCAGCGTGACTACGAGCTGCACTCCCTTGACTTCTCGACAGCTTTCTTGTAGGGTAGCCTTCACGAGGCCATCTGGTTGCGCCGTCCACAGGGCTTCACTGGGTCGTTTCCTGAGGGTACCCAGTGGAGCCTACGGCGACCAGTGTACGGCCTGCGTCAGGCGCCCCGCGAGTGGCACGACACTCTGAGGACGACACTTGCGGCTCTTGGGTTTGCTCCTTCGGCGGCTGACCCGTCGCTGTTTCTACGCACCGACACTACTCTGCCGCCGTTCTACGTCGACGACTTGGTTTTTACTACTGCTGACACTAAGGCACTGACCCTAGTGAAGGCGGAGCTGCGGGAGAGACACACCTGCACTGACCTGGGTGAGCTGCGGAGCTATCTTGGCTTGCAGATCACCCGGGACAGAGCACGGCGCACCATCACCCTGACTCAGTCACACATGGTGCAGCAGGTCCTTCAGCGCTTCCGCTTCACGTGGTCCTCGCCACAGCCCACTCCTCTGTCTACCGGCCACTCGCTCTCAGCTCCACCTTCGGACGAGTCCGTAGAGCCAAGTGGTCCGTACCCAGAGCTTGTGGGTTACCTCATGTACCTGATGACGTGCACACGACCTGACCTCGCGTACCCTCTCAGCCTCCTGGCTCGCTACGTGGCACCCGGTAGACACCGAAAGGTGCACTTTGATGCTGCGAAGAGGGTACTGCGTTACTTGTGCAGCACATCGGGCATGGGGCTCGTGCTTGGAGGACGGGGTTCGGTGGTCCTCACAGGACTCTCTGACGCTTCTTGGGCCGACGACCAGACGACTCAGCGTTCGTCACAGGGTTACACCTTCAGTCTTGGCTCTGGTTCTGTCTCGTGGAGGTCCACTCGTTCTTCTTCTGTGCTTGGTTCCAGCTGCGAGGCCGAGATCTACGCTGGGGCCATGGCTGCACAGGAGCTACGCTGGCTGACCTACCTGCTGACCGACTTGGGGGAGCGGCCTCGTTCTCCTCCAGTTCTGTACGTCGACAACAAGGCAATGCTTGCCTTGTGTCGCGAGCAGAGACTGGAGCACAGAACGAAGCACATTGCTCTTCGTTACTTCCTTGCGCGTGAGCTGCAGCAGCGTGGTCAGCTGCGCCTTGCTTACGTGGCCTCTCGGGCCAACACTGCTGATGTCTTCACCAAGGCCCTTGGGTCTGGTGATCATCACCGTTTCTGCACTGCTCTTGGGCTTGTGCCCACTCTGCCTCACCTGCTGGTTGCTTGACTTGCTCTTGTTGTACACTGCTATATATCTTATACCTGCATGTTTTCTCTTGCTAGGTTGTGATCAGTGTACTTCCTTGCTATTATATACCTCTGCATGTGAACTGGCCTTGTGGCCACTTGCTTGTGCTCAGAATGCGTGGTGACTTTGTGATCCACCCTGAGCTGTGTTCTCTTTTGCAGACTGGTCTTGTGACCACTTGTTGTGTTTGCTGTCCCCTACTCTGTCTTATACCTGCATGTTTTCTCTAGGCTACAGTAGGGTCACTCCTTAGTGAGTATAACACTTTAGGGTTAGGTTTCCCCTACTTGTACTCATCTCTTGCCTAGTTCACTCATTCATTTCTAGTTCTATTCTTGACAATCCTGGCTGGTAACTTCGCGTTCTAACCAAACAGTACACCGTACAAGTAGTGTTTGAGTCAGCGAAAATGAAATGGAATGTCCGCGTCTACTCCACAAAATGCGCATTTCCGTTTATAATGACGACGTTTACAATCCCGGACGTTACAGTATTAGTAGGAACAATTGTTTTTCGATATTAAAAACATATAAAGGTGCATTCGTTTTTTCAATATTAAACTATCTATTTAAGAAAACTACAAATGCGTCTAAACAAGTTAAAACTAATTTCTATCCATGATTTGTATTCATTATGTAGGCTGGAAATTGATTTTCATGGTACGCTTCAATGATTTGTAATATATTTTGTGAATCCAGATGAACGATAAATCTGATCCTGTGATTTTTTTATTTGTTTCTATATTTTTAATGCTATTATAGGGATTTTTTTATCGTATCGCATACGTGCATGTAACACTTTGCGTTGTAAACGTTCGTCTACTAAACAATAATGCGCATTCTGTGGAGTATACGTGGATAGTCAGTTCAATTTCGCTGAGTCAAATCCTACTTGTACGGCGTACAGTTTTGTTGGAACGTGAAGTTACCAGCCAGGAATTTTAGATGCACTGTTCATTACCATTCGGGCAATAATGTTGACCATCTAGGCATGATGGTTACCACGGTGGCGAAAAGAGGATACCTTTGTTACGATCTGGACACGTGGCTTACCTTGGGTGCGATCGAGCCCAATGTGTGTTACCGCGAAGGTAAATGCCCTTTCCTTTCTCTTGTGGCTCGTTTTGCGAAGCTTTCCCGCCAACACCTTTCCATCCCCTCGAGCCTGTCGCCTTGGCTTCCTCCTGACACGCAAGAAGGTCCTCCTACGAGGTCTGGCGAATTTGATAGGGTTGTGCTTCTTCTTCTTCTTATCTAAGTAGCTGCTGGCGAAGTAAAAAATCTTCCCGTTTGCCGCCGAACTCCACTATATTGGTAACCGTCTTCGACGCTATCGTCGGGTCAATATCTTCGCGATGTTGGCTTCGCCAGGTCATTCCCCGCGCCACATCAGCTCGCCTCCTCCCGCTTCCGAGCCTCCGTCGCCTCCTTCCGCTTCTAAGGACTCCCCTCCTGCAAAAGCCGCTTCAGCCAAATCATTACCGCTTACAGCCGCACTTACTACCTCTGGTATTCTCACTCCTTCCGCCACCCCTCGGCGCGGGGAGCGCATGGGTCCTCCTCCCGCGAAGCGTCCGCGTCCCCGCCGCGCGCCCGTTGTTCTTGACGAGGACACTTATATCGAAGCAATCGAGAGGATCGTTCAGCGGGATTACTTTCCGGATCTCCCGCGGCTGCAGAACCGGCTAGAGTGGTTGGAAGCGGTGCGATCCGGTGATCCTGTGCTGATTCGCGAGGCGCAGGTGAATATTGTACGAAGACGCGCGGAAGCTTCTGTTGCTGCTGGTGGAGGATCGAGCCGCGGGAGCGAGGGACGGAGTGACTTACGTAGTGGATTAAGGAGCGGTAGAGGCGGCTCCTCCCTATCGACTCCCGCGCTTTCCGCGGGCGCGCCTAGCCCCGCGCCTAGCCTTTTATCCGAAGGCTATCTAAGGACGACGGAATGGGATAGAGACGAGGAGAGACTAACAGGACGGAGGATAGGTAGCAGGGGGAGAGTAGAGGGTGAGGCAGCAGCAGCAGTAGCGGCGGCGGTGGCGGCTGCGGCGGCGGGGATGGAAGGAGACGGGGGGATGGGAGAGGGGGAGGGGGGCGGAGGACCCGATACAAGCCTGTCGCTTGACGAATTCGTTAAGAGGTACACTAGCGAGGATAACGCTTCGTTTGTGGAGATTAAGGAGAAGGATAATCGCCGGCGCATGGCTAAGGTAGCGCATTTGCTGGCTTTGGAACAAGGCCCAGGGGGGGGAGCGGAAGGGGGAAAAGGTGGGGAAGGCGGGGCAGGGGTGAAGCAGTTGACTGGCTCAGGAGAAGCGGTGAAGCTAATAACGGGGACGGGTGAGAACGAGGATCGGAAAACGGACGGGTTTGGGTCGACGGGGCAACCGACTAGTACACTGGAAACGTGGAAATACACTGCGCGTAATGCGTTTATGTATCCACCTGCTTGTAGAAAGGATGCTCCGTTCTCCATGCGAGAAAAGGAGCTTCGATCAGCAGGGCCGCCTAAGGAAGTCCATAAATCAAACACGAGGTTTCAGGGGAGTGTTACGGGTGGTGGTAACCAGACGGCGCAGCAGCAGAAGCAGCCGCCAGAGGAAATAGCTGCGGCACTGTTCACGCCGTTACCGGGGGGAACCCCTTTGCCTTACATAGACCCTTCGGGGGAACGCGATGGGAGAAAGAGATACGATTTGGAGGATCTGAGGAGAACACCTGTAGGAGCGGGGATAGCAGGAGGAGCAGGAGGAGGAGGAGGAGGAGGGGCAGGAGGGGCAGGAGGAGTGGGAAGAGGAGGAGACGGGAGAGGTCAGCAGCAGTCAGAATACGACTATGTAGCCACCCCGTCTCCTGCTCCCGGCGTTGATGCCTCCCCTTTCATGACCTGGGGAGAGCTAGACGGCACGCCGCTGCGTTTAGACGCAGAGGACACTCCAGTGGGGTTCAATGAGGTGGGAGGGGTGGGTGCTGGGGGGCCGCAATTCACCATGGCTGCTGCGCCGGCGCGGGATGAAGCAGGGGTTCAGCTGTCTAGGTCCGCGGGAAGGAGCATTCGAGAGAGGAGGCTTCGAGCTGCTGGGTTGACACCAGTGCGAGGGGTTGGAGGAGGGGGAGGGGGAGGGGGAGGGGGAGGAGGCGGAGGAGGGAGAGGAGGGATGATGTCCCCTTTTGCGTCTCCTGGTCTGAAAGGCACCCCTGGCGCTTCTGCTGCTGGGATGGGCGCGTGGGGTGGGCAGAGTCCGTTGGTCAGCGGAGGAGGGGGGGTAGGAGGGCCGTCGGGAGGAGGGTTGTCGGCAGCAGCACAGAAGCTGGTGTCTCGGGCGATGAAGCGGAGTAAAGTGATTGTGGATCCGAAGCTCAGAGCCAGTTACTCGGCTTCTCCTGCCGGGGTTGGGAGTGGGGGGAGTGGGGGGAGAGAGGGGAGGAGTAGGAGTAGGAGCAGGAGCAGGAGTGTGGTGGGGACTCCGGAGCAGAAGAGAGGGGGTTTGGGCACGCCTGGGTCTGCTGTTGCTGGTGGTGTTGACTCGCCTGTTGTGATTCGGTCGCTGAGGGGGACTGTTCTGAATCCGATTGCTGCCACGCCGCCACCATCAGTGCTGCATAAGAAATGAGGAGATGGGATGTGCATGCTGCTTAGAAGGGGGGTCGGTTGCTGCTGCCGACTCTCCTGTTGTGATTCGGTCGCTGAAAGGGACTGTTTTGAATCCCATTGCTGCCACGCCGCCACCACCGGTGCTGCATAAGAAACGAGGGGACAGAGGGCATTGCTGAGGCAATGAGGTTCTGTCACTACTGCTGACTCGCCTGTTGTGTTTCGGTCGCTGAGTTTTGAGGCGCTTAAAATATTATTGAGAGCTAGCTCTTCATCCCATTCATGCCACACACAATGCCACTACCGGTGCTGCATGAGAAATGAGGGGGTGGTGTGCTGGTGCACCATGGGTGTAAGTAAACTAATTTTGCCAAGGAGGACTGCTCTGTGCAACGAACAATATCACGGCATTTTGGGCTGTAGTAAGGATTTGTTGTCAATCCCCTATTTGAGGCATACCATAACTGTTCTAAAACTTTACCACAACTCTCCTTATGAAGTGTTTGTCTTGGGACTTTAATTATTTGCCCATGACTTGCATTGCGTAACATAACAATTACTAACATCTGTACAACATTCCGCCCTCCCTCCCACCAACCTTAATTGCAGATGGGTATTGTCACCTACGCAACCACCACCTCCTCTTCATCATCCGAATCAATCGCCACTATAATCTCCTCTCCGCCCTCCCTCCATGCACCAGTAATCACACGTACCGTGGGCATTGTTAACCTCCTATGCAATCACCACCTCCTCTTCATCATCAGAATCAATCGCCACTAATAACTCCTCTCCGCCCTCCCTCCCTCCAAACTCCAACCCAATCCCTCCAATCCCCTCCTCATGCGCGTATATACTCGACTCCAACAGATGTTCGCCACTCGGTTGCCCTGATACACAAGTACACACATCTACAGGAACATCATACTGTGTTACGGCAGCTATGCAACCACCACCTCCTCTTCATCATCCGAATCAATCGCCACTCTAATCTCCTCTCCTCCCTCCCTCCCTTCCACCACCATGTAATCGCATGTGGGTAGTGCCACCTACGCAACCACCACCTCCTCTTCATCGTCAGAATCAATCGCCACTATAATCTCCTCCCCACCCTCCCTCCCACCGAACTCCAACCCAATCCCTCCAATCCCCTCTTCATGCGCGTATATACTCGACTCTAACAAATGTTCCTGTAACGCATGGTGCTCATATCGAGACATTCCATGCACAGTATCATGCACGTGAGAATCCACTGTAGCTTGCACGTGCCTGTGCATGTGGCCATGCCCTGTTATATCCTCCATATGGTGCAGTGCGTTAGTATGCATGTGTTGGTCTGGGATAGCAGGGTGTATGTGGCTGTGCATCGGGCTTGACTGATAGGCCATTTGAGGGTGTGGGTAGATGAATGGCTGAGGAATAGCTTGTGAGTGAGGGTGAGGATGAGAAGTAGGGTGTGGGTGAGAGAGAGTGTAAGGGTGAGAAAGAGAGTGAGAGGGTGAGTGAGGGTCATAGTGATGTAGCTGATGAATCAAATAAGGATGCATGTGGGGGGCATGGCTATGATGGGGCTCCAGCTGCTGCTGGTGATGGTGATACTGATGGCCGTTGATATGAGGGTCTGTGAGCGCATGATTGGTCAGCGGATGATGATGGTTGAATGGGTGTTGATTATGGTGGTACGGCATAGGTACAGAATACTCAAACGCCTTCGGCTGATCATAACCATCCCCTGTCCTTTGTCGAACCCTCCTCCTTCCAACACTACTTTCCATCTCACTCTCCTCTCCATCGCCTCCCTCCCCTTCCTCCCGACCTGCCCAAACCCTTTTTCCAACCTGTTGGTTTCCTCCCACCGCATTCAACTCCTCCACACCGGTTTGAGCTCCTGCTCCTGCTCCGGCATCAGATATGTTCAACCAGTCGTTTTGACTGGCGTGGCGTGTGAGGGACGGAGGGACGGAGGTGGGGTGAGGGAGGGACGAAGGGGGGGAAGGAGGGAGGGTGGCGGATTGGTGGGGAAGGGAAGGGAGGGAGCTGGGGTGGTGGGGGAGGGACGAAGGAGGCTCTGTTTCATGGGGCAGGAGGAAATGGGTGGATTGATCCTCACGAGTGCTTGGCTGGGCAAAAACGTGACTGGAATTGTGAGAAGATGAAAGCGCATGCAAATAGCCGGATGTGGGTGCATGGTGATATGGAGATGTGGGGTGATATGCTGGAGTGGAGGCATGTTGATACGTGGATGTTGCTGCTGCTGCTGCTGCCTCTGCTGCTGCTGCTGTTGCTGTTGCTGTTGCTGTTGATGTTGCTGCTCCTGCTGGTGCAGGTGTTTCTGGTGCAGAAAAAGGGAGCTGGAATGCAGGTGAAAAAGTGGCAGGCGGGGAGGAGGGGTCGTGGTGGGGGTAATGATGGGGAGGATATGAAACAGAAGGGGGAGGATGGTGGTGGTACGAGGGTTGATGTGAGGAGGGGAAGTCTGAATGGTGCTGGCTTGAGGGAAGGTGGTGGTATGGGTATGGCATGTGGGAAGGAGTTGTTGCATATGGTTGCATGTGTGCTGCACAGCCCATCTGCTCCCGAAAAACATGTTGCTGATTCTGATTTGGATTCTGATATTGCTGTTGCTGCTGTTGATCGTTCTGCTGCTGATTACGATGATCAATATGATGAGCTCTTGAACCATGCTCCTCCTGCTCCTCCTGGTCCTCCTGAAGGTCCCCCTCCACATCTAGCTCATGCTCAAAACCCACCTGAGCATCCACCTGAGCATGCTGCTTATTCACCAGAGAGGACTCCTCTGGCATTTCCTGGCCAGGGCTCTCAAAATTCGCCTGAGAATTCACCTGAACATTCATCTGAGTCTCTTTCCTTGAAGTTTCTGCAGCACCTGAAGCGTTGCCAGTACCTGAGGCCTCAGCAATACCTAAAGGAACACCTGAAGTAACACCTGAGCTCAAAATATCACAAGCACCTGAAAACACATCCATAGCGAGCCCCTTCAATTCACCTGACTTGTCCATATCTGGTGTTTTCTCAGCTTCGGGTGAATTCCTAGTTCCAAGCGGCCCCAAGGAAGTGGAGGCCGTAGCATCTGTTGGGGGACTTGTAGCAGCAGCAGGTGTAGCAGCAATAGCAACACTGGTGGTGGCAGTAGCAGCATTGGCAGCAGTGGCAGCAGTGGCAGCTGTAGCAGAAGTGGCAGCTGCAGCAGCAGCAGCAGTGTCAGACAGGTGTTGCTTCTCCAGTAAGCCAATGGAAGGTCCGGATTCCAAGCCATCTGACACCGGACCAGCAGTCACCGAACCAGCCAACACTGAACCTGCTGGCACCAAACCTCCTGCCACCGAGCCTACTGATACCATGCCTCGAGCACGTTTGTTTGTCTGCCCTTGTGCTGTTTCTTCTGCCCCATCATTCGCAACCTCAGCCCGAGCCTTATCTGTAGCCATGGCCCGAGCCTCGGCCACAGCTTCGGTATGGATTTCAGCTTCCAGATCACTCACTGCACTCTCTGATACCACACCACACTCCGCTGCTGCGGCTGCCTCTGCGGCTGCTGCTGCTTCTGCTGCTGCTGTTGTCGCCCCTCCTACTACAAACGCTGGAGCAGCAGGAACAGTAGCGGCAGAAGTATTGGCAGTGGCACAGGTTACAGCATCAGCAGCAGCATCTACTTGGGCTGCTACTGTTGTTGCTTCTGCTGATGTTGCTGTTGGTGCTGCTGCAACCGCTGTGGCAGTTGCTGTTGTTGTTCCTACTGTTGCTTTTGCCGTTGCTGCTTCTGCTGTTGCTGTTGTTGCTGCTACTGTTGTTGTTGTTGTTGTTGCTGCTGCTGCTGCTCCTGTTGCAGCAGTTGCGTCTACTGCTGCTGCTGCTGCTGCTGCTGCTGCTGCTGCTGCTGCTGCTGCTGCTGCTGCTGCTGCTGCTGCTGCTGCTCCAGGAGCAGCCGAACCAGGCACAGCCGAACCAGGAAGAGCCGAACCTGCAGCACCAGAACCAACCGCGCCCAAGCCAGGAGCAACCGAACTAGGAGCAGCCGAGCCAGGAGCAACTGAACTAGGAGCAACCAAACCAGGAGGAGCCGAACCAGGAGCAACCGAACCAGGAATTGCAGCCTTTTGCTGCTGATCCTGCTGCTGCTGCTGCTGCTGCTGCTGCGAGTGTTGCGGCTGCACTTGAGAGGATCGTAGCTGCTGTGGCTTGTGTGGTTGTGTTACCTGCAGCTCTGGCAACCGCTGTACCTGTGGTGGCCGTGAATGCACTGTGTGTAACTGTGGCGGCTGTAGCTGTGGCGGCTGTAGCTGCTGTTGGAAGGTCTGCATAAACGATACTGAAGGGGCGATTCCTTGCACCCGGTACCTTGCTGCTCCTGCTACAACAGCTGCTACAGCCCCCGTTCCTGCTACAGCCCCCGTTCCTGCTACAGTCTCTTTTCGTGCTCCAGCCCCTGCTATACCTGCTGCTCGTGCTACAGCCGCTCCTGCTCCTGCTACAGCCCCTGTTCTTGCTACAACCGTTCCTGCTCCTGCTACAGCCGTTCCTGATCCTGCTACAGCCGTTCTTGCTCCTGCCACAGCCCCTGTTCCTGCTACAGCCGTTCCTGCTCCTGCTACAGCCGTTCTTGCTCCTGCTACAGCCGTTCTTGCTCCTGCTACAGCCCCTGTTCCTGCTACAGCCCCTGTTCTTGCTACAACAGTGCCTGTTCCTGCTACAGATACTGCTGTATTCATACCCAATACAGCCGCTCCCATTTCTGCTACAGCAACTGTCTGAGTTCCTGCTACAGCCCCTGCTGTACTGATCCTCCCAGCATCTCTCGCTGCTACGGCTGTCTGAGTTTCTGCTACAGCCGGTGGCGCTGCAGGCCCACTCAAGCTGTTTCCTGCCTTTGCCCCTTCAGCTACAGCCCCTGCTGTGCTGATCCTTCCAACATCTCTCGCTGCTACAGCCGAAGCTGCATGCACACCTGCTGTTGGGTCTGCTCCTGCTGCTACAGCCGCTGCTCCAGGCCCTGCTACAACCCCTGCTACAGGCCCTGCTCCTGCGACAGTGCTATTTGCTGCAGTGCCTGCCACTCTAGCCGCGGTTGTAGCCGCTACAGTTGCAGGTCTTCCTGTGCAGGGTCCTGACATGCAGTCTGCTGCTGCTGCTGCTGCTGCTGCTGCTGCTGGTGCTGCCGCTGCTGCTGCAGAATCCCCTTCTCCTATAGTCCCTGTTGCTGCTTCAGGCGCTGCTGCTACAGGGGATGCTGCTACAGTTGCTGCTGCTACAGCTGTTGCTGCTAAAGACGATGCTGCTACAGGGGATGCTGCTACAGCTGTTGCTGCTAAAGACGATGCTGCTTCAGGGGAATTTGTTATAGCTCCGCCTCTCCCTCCCCCTGCCATTCCCGCTATGGCTGCCCCCACCCCTGCCCCACTCCGCCCCCCTCTCCCCCCACCTCCCTGTCTCCCCCCAGCAACACCCCCCCTGCCCTGCGCTCCTGTCCTTCTCCCCTCTTCACCCATGGCTTCCCCCGAAATGCTCCGCTCTCCCCCGGCCCTTTCCGCGCTCCCCGCGCCAACCCGCGCCTCCGCTCCGCCAACCTGCGCCTCCCCCGCGCCAACCCGTGCCCCCGCCACGCGAACCCGCGCCTGCCCTGCGCCAAACGCCTTCAGCGCAGCCTCCAGCTCCGCCATCCTGCTTCCCCCCAACCCGCCTGCCCCCGCAACATTCCCCCTAATTTTGCCCCCCCCAACTTCGCCAGTTCCGCCAGTTCCGCCAGCTCCCGCGGAAACATCCGCGTTTCTAACCTCCTTGGGAACGTCTGCTATATTCAAAGATCCATCAATTAGAGCTGTGAGTATGTGGTTCGACGAGTCGACTAACCAATTAACTACACTAGAAGCCGAAGCACGTTTGATCTTACGCCTCCCCAATAACTGCTGGAGGCGAAAAAAACGGTCCGCAGTATCCGGATTTAACCTAATCATCGTATTCTTTCCGCCAGATGCTTTCTTATGCCGATCTTTGCTACGATCTGTACTCTTGCTTCGATCTGAGCCGTTCGTCAGTCGACGCGCAGGATTGGAAGAGAGCGGCGCGGCTCCGGTTGCTGACGTGGACGGAGTCACGACGTGATTCGCGGCGAGGATGGTAGGAGGCAGGAACGGGGTAGCCGAAGATGGGGCCGCAGATGCGAGGGAAGCAGGGGCAGCGGTGACGGCTACTGCGGCGGCGTTCGCGGCGGCAGCGGCGGAATTGCGGGCTGCGCGTTTGACGTCCATGGCGGCGAGCAACTCACAAAAATTATATGAGATTTCAGGCAAGTGATTGAGAGAACGGAGTTTAGGTCACAGCGGGCACATCGCCAAAAAAGTACTCTCGCTACGGCAGGGAATTCCGTCGCGACGGATTGGTCAGGTCAGGACAAATATCCGTTATAGAGAATCATTTCTCAATCATTTACACTATGATACACCATCATGCTTGCACAAGTAGCCTTTACAAGAGAGTTGGGAGAACCAAGGATTTGGCTAATATTATGCAATAGCCACCCTCTATACACCTTACAGAAGTCAGAGTGTGCTGGAGTAACTCCCACGAATGCTTGAGATAGTGAAAACATACAATTTTGATAATGTTTGAGGCATGTTAAAATGCTTGTGGTTTATAGGTTGAAGGAACAGACTATCATGCTTATTTTTCCTTCCCTTAGAAGTATGCAAGGAACGTCTATTGCTCTTGCTTTGCCCTCTCCTCTTCTTCCTCCTCGGCGGTCTCCTTACTAGCCAGAGCTACCAAGCAAAGCCCAGCACAAATGCACAATGCACCCGCAAACCACCTAGGCTTTAACTCCTCCCCCAGCAGCAAAACGCCTAACGCACCAGACCAAAGAATGGAACAGGAACTGCTGATCATGGTCGCCCCCAGAGACGAGATGCCCTCCATGGACTCGATATAAGAATGCCACATTCCTACTGTTAAAAATAAAACACCGCCGTAACAGACAATGGAAATAACTGCGTCAGCGGCACCGTAGGCGTCTAGAAGTGTGAGTGGGGATAGGAGAGGGAAGGAGCGCCACGAGCCGGAAAGGCGGGCGAGGATGGGTTTGCAGGCGCCGATGAATCCGGCGAAGATGCAGAGGAGGAGAGATCGCTGGAGGGATGGTCGAGCCATGTTACGGAATTCTGAGAAACCGAACCGCCAGGAGGAGGATAAACGGGATGAGACTATGGCGTAGGGGTATGCTGATTAGGAGAAGAAAAGAATAGAGGAGAGAGGAAGAGAGGTCGAATGATCCGATAGCGCGCCAGAATGACCTTAACGTAACGGACGCGCAGACGGTGGAGGTGAAACGCCTAAGAATGTCAAGATCGACGCGGTGGAAAGGCTGAGACACGGAACGGCGCGTCAAAGGAGAATCGGGGGCTACAAAGAATGCGGAAGCAATGCGACTTGCTGACTTCTGTATAGGCGTGAGAGACCCAGCGAACACTAGTGCTGATCAGAGTTAACGGACTTCCATGGAGGTGGTAGCAGCAGATCCACCAAAACAGGCATTTGCCAGCAAACTACAAGTGTAAGGAGGTATTCGAAACAGGGCAGGAAGTTTTCCCGACGATTTGGAGTGTCGGATCATTTCTCGAACTGATCCTGGCCTCGTTTTTGCGACACAAATGATCTCGAAGCACGCTTGTTACGCCGTTCGCTACCCGTGTGCGAGGGAACCAAAACGCTCACGAAACAGTTTTTATCTCTGCATTTCCGTTACCAAAAACGATCGACAATCTAACGGGTTAGATTTCTATAGATTCATGAAAACTGAAGCATACAGAACGGGCCCTTCTATTAATTTGCTAGGAACACCGAGAACTTTCAAAGCGCGTACAAATTGGTTGTATCCTCATAGGCGCATCACCCTCTGAGAGGTTCGCCAGCCTTCAGTGCGAAATTCGCCAGCCATGGCGTCCGCCGTGCGGCTGTTGCGGCATCGCTCTCGCGAAGCTGACTCCGCAATTCGCCGATTAACTTCCAACTACACGTCTGCTCGCGCCAATACCACAGGAGCCACACCCTCCTTTCCCCACACCCGCCGTTCGTCCCCCCCTCCATCAGCGATCGGCGCAGCATGTCCGCTTGCACCCGCCCCGTGCGCCGATCCTTCCGCCTCATCCGCCCCAACCCCTCCTCGCCCTCTTCCGCTTCTTCCGCTTTCGTCGTCTCCGCAATCCGCCCCAACTTTCCACAGCTCCACCATGCCTGCTTTCACCGCGGGCGGGGCGGAAGATCCGCGGAGACCGCAGTTTCTGGGCAACACGCGGGGAACGGGGGGAGGTGGGGGAAATGGAAAAAGCGGAGGATCGGGGGGCGAGCGCTGGGGGAACCGCCGCGGAGGGGCGTGGGCGGGCGCAGGCGGAGCTATTTTTGCTGGGGTGGCGGCAATGGGGGTAGCTTGGGGGGAGGCGCGGAGCAGCAACGGGGAAAGGGCAGAGGAGAAGGGGAAGAGAGGGGAAGAAGGAGGAGTAGGGGAAGAGGGGGAGGAGGAGGAAGGGGAGCTTGTATCGAATTGGAGTGGTACGCATGAGGTTAGGGCGGCTGTGGTGTACCGACCAGAGTCCATGCAGGTGCGTTGAAAATGGGGTATTAGACGTGTGCTTAGATGCGCTGCGGTGTGTGCCATGTGGGTCTGTGCGGCATGCTCCGTTATCGTGTCCCTGATTGGAATGGTACTCATGAGGTTCGGCGAAAAGGGCAAAGGGGAAGAGGGGGAGGAGGAGGAAGAGGAAGGGGAGTTGGTGTCAACCTGGAGTGGTACTCACGAGGTTCGGGCCGCTGTGGTGTCCCGACCAGAATCCATGCAGGTGTGCGCCCGTTTGTGTGTGCTTATAAGCAGTGGGGTGTGTGCGTATGAATGATTGTAGCATGTGCTGTAGTGCGGGTATATCTGGTGGAGGGTACTCATGAGGTTCGGGCTGCTGTGGTGGACCGACCAGCGACCATGCAGGTACATGTGTGCATGTAACCAGTGCGGTGTGTGTGTGTGTGTGTGTGTGTGTGTGTGTGTGTGTGTGCGCGCGCGTGCGTGTGTGTGGGTGTGTGTGCATGTGCGTGTGTGTGCGTGTGTGTGCGTGTGCGTGTGTGTGCGTGTGTGTGAATGATAGTGCATGCGTATTTGGTGGAGGATACTCTCGCAGAGGATCGCACCATCCGCCCGGTGGGAAGCGCCATCTCCCCCAACGGCACCACTCTGAGCACGCACAGCCCCACCATGATTAAGCTGGCAACTTTTGAGTCGACTCTAAAGTCACATCGCTCTGAGCACGCACAGGCCCAGCATGATCAACCTGGCGCTCATGGGCCGAGTGGTGCTCGTGGATGGGGGCACTGGGGCATAGGGAGGACTTTTTAGGCACCTCAAAAGATGGGGGCACAGCCGCACAGGGAGGATGCTTTCAGACCAGCAGCCAAATCCGTTACCTGTCCTTCCTCCTCCCCCAATCTCCCCTGCTGCTTCCTCCCCCACTTCCTGACCTCCACACCTCTGCTTCTTACCAGGATTTGGAACGGATCGTTCAATCGGCCCACAGTGAGGGACGCTCCATCCGCCCTGTAGGCAGCGCCATCTCCCCCAACGGCATCGCTCTGAGCGCCCACGGCATGGTCAACCTGGCGGTCATGCTCAGCCCTCTCCCTCCCTTCCTCCCACGCCTCCCATCAGGACCTGGAGCGCATAGTCCAGGCAGCCCACAGGGAGGGACGCACCATCCGCCCCGTAGGCAGCGCCATCTCCCCCAACGGCATCGCTCTGAGCGCCCACGGCATGGTGAATTTAGCCTTGATGGATCGAGTGCTACTCATGGATGGGAGCACCGGGACCCGGAGAGCATTCAGACCAGCTGCTAATTCCGTCCCCTCTTCTTCCTCCTTGCCCTCTCCCTGTTCCCTCTCGCAGGATTTGGAGCGGGTCGTTCGATCAGCCCACAAGGAGGGTCACACTATCCGCCCTGTAGGCAGCGCCATCTCCCCCAACGGCATTGGGCTGAGCGCCCACGGCATGGTCAATCTAGCCTTGATGGACCGAGTGGTGCATGTGGATAAGAGCATGGGGAGGGTGCGCGTGCAGGCAGGGGCGCGCGTGGAGCAGGTGGTGGAAGCATTGAGGCCGCATGGATTGACTCTGCAGAATTACGCCTCTGTGCGGGAGCAGCAGATCGGCGGGTTCATTCAGGTGAGCTGGCAGCACCATGTGGCTGACCCTACACAGGCAGGGGCGCGCGTGGAGCAGGTGGTGGAGGCACTGAGGCCGTATGGATTGACTCTGCAGAACTATGCGTCTGTGCGGGAGCAGCAGATTGGCGGGTTCATTCAGGTGAGCTGGACCCTCAGTGGCTGCCCTGCATGCAGGTGAGTGAGTGTGAGCTCACATGGTGAACAAACCTGGCCTTGATGGACCGAGTGGTGCATGTGGATAAGAGAACCGGGAGGGTGCGCGTGCAGGCAGGGGCGCGTGTGGAGCAGGTGGTGGAGGCTTTAAGACCGCACGGGCTTACCCTGCAGAACTATGCTTCGGTCAGGGAGCAGCAGATTGGAGGGCTCATACAGGTGAGACTGTGGTCTGCGGTGCTGTTGGGTAAGTGCTGCATGTGGATAGGGCAACAGGGCGGGTGCGCATGCAGGCAGGGGCGCGCGTGGAGTGGAGCAGGTGGTGGAAGGGAAGCTTGAAGGCCCTGTGGCCTTACTCTCCAGAATTACGCGTCTGTGAGAGAGCAGCAGAGGCGGGGGATTCATACAGATGAGACTGTGGTCTGTGGTGCTTTTGGGTAGGTGGTGCTCGTGGATGGGCATGGGGACACTGGGCGGGTGCGCATGCAGGCAGGGGCGCGCGTGGAGTGGAGCAGGTGGTGGAAGCTTTAAGGCCCTGTGGGCTTACTCTCCAGAATTACGCGTCTGTGAGAGAGCAGCAGAGGCGGGGGATTCATACAGATGAGACTGTGGTCTGTGGTGCTTTTGGGTAGGTGGTGCTCGTGGATGGGCATGGGGACACTGGGAGGGTGCGCGTGCAGGCAGGGGCGTGCGTGGAGTGGAGCAGGTGGTGGAAGCGTTGAGGCCATACGGGCTTACTTTACAGAACCATGCTTCCGTCAGGGAGCAGCAGATTGGAAGTTTCATGATTCATCCATGTGAGCCTGTGGTGCTTGATGGGGTGCTGCCGCGCTGCATGTGGGTGAAGGGCAATGCACATTGGTGGGAGGGAGGGTGCGCGTGCCGTGCAGGCAGGGGCGCGCGTGGAGCAGGTGTTGGAGGCTCTGAGGCCCTATGGGCTTACTCTTTAGAGTTACGTGTCTGTGCGGGAGCAGCAGATTGGGGGATTCACGCAGGTGAGACTGTGGTGGTGCTGGATGTGGGTCAACGGCAAGGACGACTTTTGAGGCGCCTCAAAAGTTGAGACTGTGGTGGTGCTGGATGTGGGTCAACGGCAAGGCACCGGTGGGAGGGTGCACGTGCAGGCAGGGGCGAGGGTGCGTATTGTGGATGGATGGGAGGGTGCATGGGGAGGGTGCGAGTGCAAGGGGAGCCTGAGGCAGGGGCAAGGCTGCACCTGACGTCCTATTGCCATTTTGTTTGAGCTTGATTTTGAGAATTCTCAAAATCAAGCTCAAACAAAAAGGAGGGTGCATGGGGAGGGTGCGAGTGCAAGGGAGCCTGAGGCAGGGGCAAGGCTGCACCTGACGTCCTATTGCCATTGTTCTCCCCTCCCCTCTCTCTCCTCCCTTCACTTCGCTCCCGCAGGTGGGTGGGAGCACATGCACAGGAGCCGGCATTCCCTCAGTGGACAAGCAAGTGGTGGTCATTAAGCTCGTGACACCCGACCGTGACAGGGACCCCCTTTTCCCTTCCCCTCCCCTTCCTTTTTGCCACCTTCCCCACTTATCGCCTTGCCTAGTAGGTGGGTGGGGGCACACGGCACAGGGGTCGGCACCCCTCCAGTGGACATGCAAGTGGCGGCCATTCATCTCGTGACATGTGCTTCTGACACACACCTACGAGACAAAGCTTCATCCCTGTGCGGTGCGGTGCTCGCACACCTGACAGGGACACACACCTGTTCGGTGCTCGCTCTTTTCTGCCCTCTCCCTTTCTATCCTCCCCCCCAGGTGGGGGCACACGGCACAGGGGCCGCCATTCCCCCAGTGGACGAGCAGGTGGTGGCCATTCAGCTCGTGACACCTGGCAAGGGCACGCTGCACCTGATTTGACGTCCTCTTGCGCTCGTTTTTCTTTCTCCCTCCTCCCCGTCACTTCTCCAGGTGGGAGCACACGGCACAGGGGCTGCCATCCCCCCAGTGGACGAGCAAGTCGTGGCCATTAAGCTCGTGACACCTGGCAAGGGCACCCTCCACCTGACGCCCAAAGCTGACCCGGACCTGTTCTACCTGGCTCGGTGCGGGCTCGGAACACTAGGGGTGGTGGGGGAGGTGGAGCTGCAGGCAGTGCCGGCTCACAGACTGAGAGAAGAGACGTTTGTTAGCACCAAGGAGGAAATCAAGCGGCACCATGGGTGAGTGTTGTGGGAGGGAGGAGTTGTGGGGTAAACCACTCAGACTAGCACGGAGGCATCCCTACAATTGCGCGGAGGGATCGGAGCAGTGGGGGTGGTGGGGGAGGTGGAGCTGCAGGCAGCGCCGGCGCACAGGCTGAGGGAGGAGACGATTGTTACCACCAAGGAGGAGATCAAGAGGCATCATGGGTGAGTGTAGTGGGTGGGAGGAATTGTGGGGGTAACCACTTAGATTAGCACGCAGGGCTCGGCTCGGAGCACTGGGGGTGGTGGGGGAGGCGGAAGCAGCGCCAGCAGCGCATAGACTGAGAGAGGAGACGTTTGTTACTAATAAGGAGGATATTAAGACGATTTTTTAGGCGCCTCAAAAGTTGTTTCTGATAAGGAGGATATTGAGATGCATCACGGGTGAGTAAGTGGTGGTGATGGTTGTTTGGGGGGGAGGATGGGGGAAGTGGGGCAAAGAGGGGTATCAAATGTCGTCCTCGCTCCCTGCTCTCCGCCCTCCCCTCTCCCAGCCAGTGGTTGCGGGACTACCAGCATGTGCGCTACATGTGGGTTCCACACACACACCTACCTTATGCTCCCACCATCGCATCATTGCACCTTCCCATCATCCCATCATCCCATCTTCCTCCATCACAGCCAATGGTTGCAGGAGTACCAGCACGTGCGCTACATGTGGATTCCACACACACAGGCAGTCGTGGTGGTCAGTTGCAACCCTGTCACGGCCCTTTCAACTAGCACAGTCCTTGCTCTTCTGATAATCAGAGCACCTTCTTTCCCCTCCCCCCTCTCTCAGCCAGTGGTTGCAGGAGTACCAGCACGTGCGCTACATGTGGATTCCACACACACAGGCAGTCGTGGTGGTCAGGAGCAACCCCATCCAGGACACCACCAGTGGGGGACCAGCAGTGCAAGGAGAAAGGGTGCAAGGCAAGGGATCTGCCAGTGGGGGATCAGCGTTGAGTGAGGATGAGAAGCTCGCTCACGTGCGAGCTCTGTACCTCGCATCGGTTGTTGCGAGAAGAAGGTGAGCTTTTCATGTGATGGTGATGTGAGACGGGCACAGGGGCATGGGGATGCGGCAGCGTTGAGTGAGGATGAGAAGCTGGCTCATGTACGAGCACTGTATCTTGCATTGGTTGCTGTGAGAAGAAGGTGAGTTAAGCAGGTGATGGTGATGTGAAAAGGGCACACGCACAGGGGCATGAGGTTGGGCCGTCATTGAGTGAGGATGAGAAGCTCGCTCATGTACGAGCGCTGTACGGTTGTTGCTAGAAGAAGGTGAAATCAAATCACCAACACCAGCAGCAGCAGCAGGATCGTAACAACAAGATTTGCGTTACGTTCCATCCTGGTTTTCAATCCGCATTATGTCTCACCTCACATTGGAACAAATCGCTTTCCAATTCATCTCTAACACACTCTAATGGCCATGACGTAAGTGCACTGAAACTTTCGAGTTCTGAGACGTCTCAACAATCCAACTGCCATGATGTGGGCGCGTTTCTGATAATCTCCAAGCTATACCTCTCCCCCAACTAATCTTCTCGTTTCTCTCTCCTCCCTCCCCACCGCCATCCCTCCAGCTCCAAACCTTCGCGGTCCCAACCCCACCCACCCTCGTCGTCATCCCCCTTCTCCCCCTCCTCTGCCTCCTCCTCTCCTACCACCGAAGCAGCTGCTGGCATGTGGTCCGGCACAGGTTCGGCCGAGCCTGCGCCGCCGAGCCAGCGCTTCCTAACAGATGCTGAGCTTCGGGAGCTGTCTTTTACGAGGCTGAGGGACGAGCTGCTGGCGCTAGATCCATTGAATCTGGATCATGTGCGGGCGATTAATCAGGCAGAGGCTCTGTACTGGAAGCTGAGTGAAGGGGAGAGGTGAGTGTGTGTGTGGGGGGTTGGAAGATTCAATGAACCTGGACCATGTTCGGGCGATTAACCAGGCAGAGGCGTTGTGGTGGAAGCTGAGTGAAGGGGAGAGGTGAGTGTGAGGGGAGGGGTGGAGGGTTGGGTTCATTGAATCTGGACCATGTGCGGGCGATTAACCAGGCAGAGGCTCTGTACTGGAAGCTGAGTGAAGGAGAGAGGTGAGAGTGCCTGTGTGGAGGGAATAACATTCATTCTTGTTTGGACGTGCATCTCTTTCGTAGTCGTCGGATCCATCGAATCTGGACCATGTGCGGGCAATTAACGAGGTGACATTTGAGTCGACTAAAGTCACCTCAGGCAAATCAACAAGAATGATCACAAGTAAGGGGAACAGTGAGTATGTGTGTGCGTGCGTGCCTGCGTGTGCGTGCATGCGCGCGTGTGTGTGTGCACCTAGCCTAGTTTCGCATAGTAATAATACTCTTCATCATTGCAAAAACAACAAAAGGTACATTGTACTCAATCATTTTTCCGTTGTGCAGGGAAGGATGGAGCGACCAGATACTAGGCTTTGACTGTGGTGGGCAGCAGTGGGTGTCTGAAGTATGCTTCAAGGCAGGCGGAAGCAGCAGCACCACCACCACCAGCACCACCACCACCAGCACTACCGCCAGCAGCAGCAGCAGCAGCAGTAGCAGCACGGCGGACATAGCGTTTATGGAAGAGCTATTGGCGCTGATCGAATCAGAGGGTATCCCCGCCCCGGCGCCCATAGAGCAGCGTTGGACCAGCGGCAGTCGCAGCCCTCTCAGCCCCACTTCCGGTGCTTATAACGCTGCTGCTGCTGCAGGTTCGGCAGCAGGTTCGGCAGCAGGTTCGGCGGCAGATGGAAGAGCGGCGCTCGATGATGTGTACTCATGGGTATGTGGCACTGTTGCTGACATTGATTCATGCAAGTGGCTGAAGAGTACTATGTTCTGACATCTTCTATATCATATGTCTCCCATGTCCATCCAATCCGTTACAATCAACAACATTTCGATCATGCCCCATAACCATCTATGTTGCTTCCATCTTGACCCATTGTAATGCTGGTTATTTCCTGCTCCATCCTTTTTCACAGAACATTAAAACTTTGTGGTGAGCATTGATACTCTTGCTATTTGTGACCCATGACCATCGCATACAGGTGGGCATAATCATGTATCTGCCTTCTAACGACCCTGATCAACGGGCAGCCATCACCAAACATTTCCTCGACTACAAGTTTTTGACTGCCCGAAGGCTCTGGGACAAATATGGAGCACATGAGCATTGGGCAAAGATTGAGGTACGTGAGTGACTACTATGAGAGGGTCGATGGTGAATCTATAGAGTGAAGAGAACAAGAAATAAAAACTCATACACACACACACACACATGCACACACACACACACACATGCACACACACACACACACACACACACACGTATGCACACACACACACACATATAAATGCAGACACTCACGTGCATGCACACACACACACACATGTGCACACACACACACACACACGCACACACACACACACACACACACACACACACACACACACACACACACACACACGCGCGCGCGTGCGCACGCTCACGCGCACGCGCACTCACACACACACGCACACGCAACATCAACAATAGGTTGGATGTTGAAGGAAAGTGACGCATTCTACCCATCTGATGTTGTCTCGTTTTCACACTCCCACTTCTCCCAATCTCCCTGTATTCCATGTTTTCTTGCCCTTTTATATCCACCCTAAACCCTGAATTTTCTCGGATTTTTACAAATGTGTTCTTCCTCCTCCCCAACTGCGCAGATTCCCTCGGATCCTACCACTCGTCAGTGGCTCGTGTCGCGCATTGCACGCGATTTCCCCGTGGTCAAGTTAAATGAGTATCGGCGAAAGCTCGATCCCAAAAACGTGCTGGCCAATGGCATGCTCGATGTGCTGTTTCCTCGTTAATCCAATGCAACTCTTGAAGAGGTTGCAATCAGTTCCTTAAGTCATGTATGCCATTCTTGTAACAAATCAATGCCATTTTTTTCTGGACTCACAGGGGTATGCTGCAGAAGCTACATGGGGGATTTTATGGCCATGCCACGTCTGTTCTTGTTGCAAGGGTGCATTGTTGCCCCAAAAAATACCGTATCAGGCTACCGTACCTGTCAAGAGGTCATTGCTGGCTGTGATTCGTACACATCAGCAAGACTGATGACCTGACAAGACCCTCATTGTTTGATACCTGATGCACAGAAAGTGGACCAACCTGCTCCTAGCACAAAGAAACCCCCAGAGAAAGCTAGAATCCTGTGGCTGGAGCTTCATCAACGTTGTTCAGCACATGGAGAGAGCTGATCATGCTGGGCTGAAAGCCCATCACCAAAGTGAGTTAGGGCGTGTCGTGTCTGGCCTAACCGTACGGTACTTCTTTTTTAAATCATGCATTACTGATCAGACTGGTGGGTGGAGGTTCAAAGCGGTAGTGACGGGCAAATCGCTCTTGAAGGCTCCTGCACCACAGCATCTTTTTCCATCGCGACGAAGTCCGACCCGTTCTTGGTAATTTGTCCAACCTCTCCATTAGCATACGGTGGATTGAACATGTAAAATACGGTATTCAGCAACTAAAACTAAAAAAACTTACAAATCACGATGGCATGCAAGCGCATACTATGACGTCATCACAAGGCCATGTTCAGGGCCTCCATGAGATTCATTTTTCTACCAAAATCAGTGATGGTGTCAACCACATGCCCACTTTTGAAAATCTTCGCGAGGGGGACGTTCCGGATGTCGTACGCGGCGCGCGCACGGGGACTCTCTTCGATGTCCTTGTAAAAGGCGACCCTGCCAGAATACTCCGCAGCGAGCTCGTCAATGGAGGGAGCGGCAAACCTGCAAGGGCCGGACCATGGAGCCCAGAAGAAGACGAGCACTGGAAGCTCACTTTCCGAAACGAGGCTCGAAAAGCTCTCATCCGTCACGGGCGTCGCCATTAGAAGCTAAGCGAGAAACAAACCACTCAAATCCAACGTGAGTGACCTGCTGGTAGCAGGTTGGGACAACAGGACCTTGGCGGCAAATGGAAGTCACCGCCCTCAGTTATCAGTCACCAAATGGCGGTAACTGGCAGTCGGAGAAATGAGATAACAGTACTCTGCCAAGCAACCAGGGAACTTATAGCAGTCACATTACGCCCACCAGCCATCCTGGCGCGGGTGGCCTGGCCTGGGGGGGACGCTATGGAATGTCTACTCCGCAAAGGCGAGACTTTCGCAACGAGAGCGAAAAGCGCATTGTTGGTTGGAAGGAATCATGCTCCCATCCCCAGCCAGGAGAGTGGAAGGTTTGCGGAGCGTGTAGCGTGGTTGGCGGAGTGCAGCGGGGCGGGAGTGTCATAGGAACGTCACCGCCCTCAGTTATCCGTACGGTGGAGTTTAAATTGCGGTGTACTGTGGTGAGCAGGGGTGAGGTGCGGTCGAAGTGATGTCCTGGCGACGGTCAAGAAAGACTCACAAGTTAGGAGGACTTGACAGGGTCGACGACGACTGTGGGAAGGTAAGTTGAGTGGCGGCTCGCCACTCGTGGACGGCGATTCATGCGACGTGCCAGCCCACCAGTGGCGAAAGTTCGTTTCTCATCTTGTTCCAACAAAATAGGTACGCGCATGCACCATATGATAGTAGAAGGAGATAGGAACATGTGCTAGCACATTATTTGCGTACAATGCAACCAGTACAATGCAGATGTAGAAATCTTCAAACCTACACAGATCTTAAATAACTGAAGGAACATGACAGCACAGCAAGCTGTCTCCTCCCCTATCCCTCATCGTAACATGTAAGTAATCCACGCCATAGCCCAAAACCCTCGTTTACGACGGTCTAACCTGCACGTCACTTGGTTTGGAAGATATTTTGGATCATTGGCCGTGGCACCTCAGCAGCAGCGTCATCCAAAGCTGCAACCTCATTGGACGACAGCCGCCAGCCAAGCGCTCCTAAATTTTCCTTGGCTTGCTCGACGGTCTTGGCTCCTGGGATGGGAACTGTGCCCTTGGCCATGCACCAGTTGATCGCCACCTGTAGCAAGGCGAATGGGGGGGCCATGCACGATAGTAAAACACACGTAAGCAGCTTGTCTGCTTGGTTAACAGTCTCGGCTCCTGAAATGGGAACAATGCCCTTGGCCATGCACCAGTTGATCGCCACCTGTTAACATGATGGGCAAGAGCAGTACATGCAAGTGTGACAGAGAACAGATACATGCACGTTGCTTTGATGTGGTCGTGGCTCCTGGTATGGGAACTGTGCCCTTGGCCATGCACCAATTGATCGCCACCTGGTGACATGGCGGGCAGGTGGAGCATATACAGATGTCACATGAAAAAGACACACCCAAGTGCTTCCATGCGGAGTTGGCTCCTCCTGGGATAGGTAGGAACCAGACCAAGCCCTTGGCCATGGACCTGTTGTTTCCCATGCATTAGTTAATTGCCACGTGTTTTGTAAGAATAAGTGGGAATAAGATAGCGTGTGATGGAAAAAGCAGGAAGGAGAGCAGAGCAGTAAAAAAAAGACACAGCATCACAGGTAGAAAGGGGAATGCGGGGCATGAACTCATGCAGAAAACGAAGATGGGATAATATGATTCTCAAAATTGACTTGCCTGAGGCAGGGTTTTGTTTCGCTTTTCCCCGATTTCCGTCATGAGGCCAAGAAGAGGGTCCAGGCCGGGCAGCAGTTGTTGGAACAAAATACCTCTGGATTGAGAATAAGAAACAGGTGTGGGGGAAAGGGGAGGAAGGTTTGGGGGTGTTAGACAGGAGAGAGGGTGGGCAAAGGTTGACAAAGAGTTGGGGGGAGGGAAGGGATTAGTCGGGCACAGATGAATCAAGTGAGGGTGTGCGAAAATGTAGAATAGCCACGTGATTTGATGGAATTTGATGGGCATGCGGGTGTCAGCAGGACCGTGCCATGCATTCCGCATCAGAATGGCAAGTCTAGTGAAACAGCATGCAAGCAAAGCGAGGGCAGAGTAAGCAGCGCTTGGAGCCGTTGCGAGAGATTATCGAGCACCTTGGGCCTTGCGGCAGGTTGTCAGCACTGTATTTCCCCGAGAGCACGCCGAGAGCGAGAGGGGAGTATGCTATAACGCGGATGCCATTGGCCTCACAGAAGGCCAGCAGATCGTCCTGCTCTTCACCCGAGCTCAGGAGGGAAAATTGCACCTGACAGGATGGGATGGATGGATGGACGGGCGGATGGGTAGGTAGATGGATGCACAGACGGATGGGTGGATAGATGGGTGGAAGGGTGGATGGATGGGTGGACGGGTGGATGGATGGGGGTTCGATGTGGAGGCAAAAAATATTACTGGTGGGTGTATGAAGAAAAACCGAAGAAAGGAGTGCAAGTCGATAACTATCACGCTTTGACATAAAAGGATTCAATGACTCGTGAGCACCGAGACGATATTTTAGGCACCTCGAGAATCTATGTATGCCTGCTTATTACATGAAACGGCCACATGAAGTACCCACCCCATAGGTCGTCCACACTGATGTGACTTCTGGTAAGTGCTTGGGTATTGTTCCGTACCTGTGCCGAAGCAAGTGGCACTCCCCGTTCCTGCAGGTATGTGTAGATTCGCTCGAGTTGCTGTGGGCCGTAGTTGCTCACTCCCACGCACTCCACCAAGCCCTGGAGTGGGGAGGGAGAAATATAGGGGTGTGAGAGTGGGGGGGGGGGGGGGGAGAGGCACGAGTTAAAACTTGAAATTTGCAGTTTCTCAATACCACACTTGTGAACTGGTAGACATATTTTTCTATTGGAAGGGTTACAGTACACTCGCTCATATCATTTGGCACCAGTTTCAACTCACATGTTCCTGCATGCTCTTTGTGAATCCATCGGTATCTTACCTCATCTTACGGTTTCATCTTACCTCCTCGTACATAGCGACGAGCCCATCCCACAGCACCCTCTCCTGCAACGGAGCATAGTTGGCAGCAGACCAGTGCAGCTGGCCTATCGCGAGCTTCTCCAAGCCCAGGCGATCCAGTGATGCCCTGATGGAGGGAAGGCAGAGGATTGAGGTAAGAAAGGGACACCAAAAGAGAAGGGGATGCGTTATTGAGGAGCATAGTTGGCAGCAGACCAGTGCAGCTGGCCTATTGCCAGCTTCTCCAAGCCCAGGCGATCCAGTGATGCCCTGATGGGAGTTAGAGAAGGGAGGATTGACGAAAAGAGGATAAGAGAGAGAGAGGAGAGGAGAGCTTTGCATAGAACAGCACGATTGGAATGTGAGGACCTCAAAACTCAACCCCCATTGCCCTTACTCTTCCCCAATCTCCCCCGACTCCACCCATCTCCCCATCTCCCACCAGAACCCCCCTCACCTGCAGGCGCCCACCATCTGTGCGGTGGTGAGGCGCCAGGGATACGCGGCGAGCTTGGTGGCAATGCGGATCTACTCTCCCCCCACTAACCCCATCAACCCTCATGTTCCACATGTCCCCCCATGTCCCCCCATGTCCCCCCATCTCCCCCCATGACCCTCCTGTCCCCGGCCGCACCTGCAGGCGCCCACCATCTGTCCGGGGGTGAGGCGCCAGGGATACGCGGCAAGCTTGGTGGCAATGCGGATGTCACTGCGGTACTTGTCACTGCCTGGCGTGGGATGGGGTGGGGTGGGGTGGGGTGGGATGGGGTGGGGTGGGGTGGGGTAATGGGAAAGTTACAAATGCCGCTGCGGTACTTGTCAATTGATGATACCGGTAGGAGACAACAGGATTGAGATCGAAAATTTGACAGGAGGAGACGTAGCGATGCTGTCGGAGAGACAAAGCGAGCGGACTAAATGTGGACGAAGAGTGAGAGCTAGAAATCTTTGGACCAGGAACGACCCCTCCTTACCAGGGTACTCTTTGATGAATTGGCCCAGTAGCTGCTCACTGCGGCCGCTAAGCGCTCCAGTTCCGTACGAGTCAGCAGTGTCGAAGATATTAATCCCGCGCGACACGACCAGGTCAAATACCTCCTTAAGCTCCTCGTCCATCGCCTTGTCATAACCCCACAGGAACTTATTTCCCCACGCCCAGGTTCCGAGGCCCATAGGGGAAACCGAGAACGGACCGAGCCGCACCTAATAAAGGGCGTGTTTACACAATGCGACATGTTCGGTAATAGGGGAACGAAGGAGTTATTTAGTAAACCAGACGGTTGTCTGTACAACAATAAATAGGTTCCCAGCGTGCTAGTCCAGTTGCCTGATTCAAAAACTTGGCAATAAAAGAAAAGAATATGCAGCCACTGAATGTCTCCGACCGCTAGAAACTGGTGATCCTTTGCTTCAAGGTGAACTGCACAATTGTAGCAACGGCTACGGCTACGGCTACGGCCCTATGAAGGATAGCAACGGCTTACCCTTTCCCACGGAGCATACGCCCATCCTTCTCGGAACTCTCCCGAATCGCTTTCCGGAGCGCCTCGCTTGGTGAAGAAGTCTAGAATGGCTCGCGCTTCCACTTGAAGTACGGACCTCCTCGCGGCATTTCGGGATTGAACCGGTACCACGCGACTCGATGCTCTGCTCTTGCTTGGGAACTTGTGAGTAGCAAGCGACACTGCGTCTCGCGAAGCGGGGCCTGAGAGCACGCGATTCGACCAGCTGAGCGACGTGGCAGCCATGGCTAAATTCCTGAAAGAATTTGTGATTAGGAGCCGAACACTCGACGGATTAGAAGAATCAAATAGATATGTCAGGTTTCGGCTTGGTTCAATTGGTTTCCAGTCGGTGATGCGGGGTTGTATGGAGCTTCTTTCAGATGTGCTGGCTGTTGCGAATTTAGATGATGCGCTTGATTGGACAAACAAGATTCGTGAGCTGTGCGAACCGTCGATTGCACTGTAAACACAGCTTATCTACGAACACGGTTTGCCCGCAAGCTACCATGATCGCACTTGGATTTGACACCCGAAGCAGCAGCGATGGGCATCGTCACAGTTCGCGAAATCGCCATCGAAAAAATATTACCGGTTTGCAAGTCTCGCAACACATTTTCCCCAACCATTTGAAAGAGCAAATTTACTGAGGGGCTAAAAAGTGGCCTCATCAGCGGGATGTGCGCGACCTTTACTAGTTAATTTCTGAGCCCAGTACTTGGTCGTTCAGGCATAAGTTAGGCGACTGCGCAGTTAGGCTCGGGTCGAGTCGTACGCTGACGCATATAGTACTGCATGGGCTAGACGAGGTGGTTGTGATCGACGAGGTCAGGAGAACAATCATGGCGTCTAGAAGCAGGCGCTTTTTATGCGCATCAAAGCTGCGGCAATCGCTCAAATGTTATGTTCCACGAGAACTTACTGATGTATTCGGAGCCACCTACTTCAACTCGAAGATCGTCATCCCTCCCGTGCTTTCAGCAGCTAAACCCGCTCCACACGGAAATCTAGTCACTTATTTAGCTTTGCCAGGGACATCAGGAGCAGCAGCACCCAGGGATGTGAAGGGACCCGGAAAACGTTCCGGAAGGGGCGCAATATCGCCAGGTCTTGAGGCGCCTCAACAATTACTGTCGCTAACTGCTCCAACAAGCCTCTTGATCAATGGGCCGGCGAAGATCACGAGTATCGCGAATTTGGCGAAATCTGCGATGTCAGCTCCTTTGTTGAGACGCTCTGGAAGCACACGAGAATACTTCAAGGCTCCAGCTGCTCGAGCGGCACTCGCTTATGGCACCTCCTGTTTAAGTCACACCACAGCGTCTATCCAAATTTTCAAAGGAATTAGCGCCCGAAATACCATTGGACATGCAGATCTGTTGTCGAACTTCGGTTTTGCCACGTCAGCCAGGTATTCCACCACGTCATCCAAAGATTCCACATCCGGGACCAGTGCCACGTCAGCGCGCCACACCAACCCAGCCAAAGATCCCGTCAAGCCAGCTGCACGGCGCCCCTTAAAACGCAACGAGGCGCTGCGAGTGTTCATAATTGCGGGCGAGCCTTCAGGGGACGCGCTAGGGTGCAGATTAATGGCGGCTTTAAGAGACGAGGTTGACAGGAGAAAAGGGGAGATCTGGGAGCAGGTGGAGGAAGGAAGCTTCCAAGAAGGGCGCTCAGGAGCTGTTGAGTTTCAAGGTGTGGGAGGGTGAGTGTGGGGTGCATTGAGCAGTGAGCGGTGAGTGAGAGAGCGAGTGAGTGAATGTATGAGTGCATGTGTGAGTGGGTGAATGAGCCAGCACGTGAGGGTCAGAGGGAGCGATTGACACACGTTACCTGAACATTACTACCGGTACCTACCCCCCACTTCTTCCATTCCCCCTCTGCTTCTGTGCCCTTCCACCCACCTTTTGTAATTCCTGGTTCAGGAATGCCTGAGTTCATGAGTGCATGTGCGATCTTTCACCCTCCCTTTGTAGTAATACCTTTTTGGGTTCCATCACCCACAATCCAATTTCTGCATTTCTCTCTTCCCAGCACCCGATGCAGCTTCTTAGTTCCCAATGCTGATGCAGGAACTCTTTTTGCTAAGGTCCTCCCTCCCTCACTCCAATTCCACACAAATTCGTGTTTCCTAAACTTGCCCCACCGCACTCCACTCCATCTCCCTCTACACACAATCCCCATCACCCTACACCATCACCACTCCCACCTCGCTCACTGCAGCTTTGGATGGCACCATATGGTCGCTTGTCTCAAATCAGTCCTTGTGCAGACAGCCACAGCTAAAACCCGTATTTGCTGTAATTTGGCTATTCTTATGTGCCGTTGAAACCGCTGGTACTCGCACACGCGCAGTCACTCAGCATACCTACTCCCCTCCATCCTTCTCCACACACGATCCCATTTCCTCCACATGCAATACCTTCCCGTCCACACACAACCCCCCCACCCAAACCCACCCCCCCCCACCACCACAGCCCCTGGATGGCATCACAAGGCCTCAGCTCTCTCTTCCCAATGAGAGAACTTTCAATCATGGGCTTCAGGACAGCCAACCCACACATCCTCCCCCCACCCAAACCCACCGCCACACCACCACAGCCCCTGGATGGCATCATAAGGCTTCAGCTCTCTCTCTCTCTTCCCAATGACAGACCTTTCAATTATGAGCTTCATGACAGCCAACCCACACATCCTCCCTCCACACACATCCGCCACCCCACCAATCCCACAGCCCCTGGATGGCATCGCAGGGCCTCAGCTCTCTCTTCCCAATGACAGACCTTTCAGTCATGGGCTTTGTCGAACTCATCCCTCGCATCCCACTCCTATGGGTACACTCCTCTCTCTCTCACCTTGTAATCGTGTGTATTAGCAATGTGTGCTCCTATGCATTAAAATTGTTTTTCTATTTACATCAAATGTCATTGAGTATGGCGTTTCACACTTGCACTACCTGTTTTGGGGAGTAGATGGCCACAGTCATGGTGATGCCATGATACTCCTCCCCCTCTCCCTCCCCCCTCTTCCTTTCCCCCCCTCCTCCTCCCCCTCCTCTCACTCCCTTCCCAGTATCGCCTGCGCCAGGCTGTCCGGCACGTGGAGCAATTTCAGCCACACATTGTCATCACCATCGACTCCAAAGGCTTCAATTTTCGCCTGCTAAAGGCTATCAGAGGTCGGATCTTGCACTGGGTTGACATCTGTTGAGTTTTGAGTCGACTGAAAAGCTGGATCAACCCTTTATGAATTTTGAGCCAACTGGGAGATCGGACGGATTCCTGTGGACTTTGAGTCGACTATAAGAACATTGTCATCACCATCAACTCCCCGGCTCCCTTCATCTCACCTGTTAATGCCCACTGGAGGTCAGAATTTGCGCTCCATTGACTTCTGTAAAAACCGTCGTCATGCTGAAGTGTTTGGTTACTTCGTGCTTTTATGTGCGTTCTGCAGGTAAAGAGAAGCTGCGTAGACAAGGCGAGGAGGCTCCGCTCTGTGTGCATTATGTGGCGCCGTCGTTTTGGGCAGTCAAAGGAGGAGAGCGTAGACTGCGAGTATGTTCAAGTGTGCATGTTATGAAGTGCATGTGTGTTCAAGTGTGAGTGTTCAAGTGGAGATCAAACCATTCCCCAACTGCACTTCAGCTTTCCTCCCTGTTGTGATTCTTTCATTTTAGCATTCTCCCACAAGCTCCTCTCTATCCTCCTGTCCCCCCCATCTGCGTATTTCCCTCCGCCATACTCCAAGCAGAATCTCTCACCGTTGATGGACCATCTGCTGTGCATCCTGCCTCATGAGCCTGCCACGTGTCAGCAGCATGGCATCCCAGCAACGTATGTGGGGCATCCGTCTCTTGAGACCATAGCTGAGGAGCGGAGCAGCGGGCAGTGTGGGGAAGCGGGGATGAAAGTGGAAGAGCAGAGGGAGAGAGAAACACAGGAGACACGGGATACAGGAGAATCAGGAGAGGAAGTAAAGCGACAGGATCAGGGTGGTAATGTGGTGGATGAACCATGGTGGAAGGCGAGTGGGGATGGAAGAGATTTCCGACAGCAGCACAGCATTCCAGGTAAGGTTCTGTGCAATAAGCATGCGAATTTGCGGTGTTTTAGGAGTTGATTGCTTGCTGTCTGAAGTTGATGAAATCTGCACTCAACTGTAGCTGATTCTGTCTGTTCTGTCCTTTCTCAGTCGGGCCCCAACACATAACCATCTGCCTGCTTCCAGGAAGCCGCCTACAAGAAGTATCCAGGATGCTACCTATACTCCTTCAAAGTGTTGAGATCCTGACTGCATCAAAGTGGCTCAGGGATTATCTGGATTCCCGAGGGCCAGGTGGCAAACTGTCATTGGTTATTCCAACGCTTCCACGCTCTTCAGAAGTTACTGCCCATATCCAAAACATTCTTCATTCATGGCTTGATTCTTTGAAAAATAAGCATTCCAGCTGGAAACTTCCGTTCAGTTTATTTCAATCTGTGCAGTCTGATCCAGTGGTTGACATTGCAGCTGCAGTAGTGATTTCTGCACCGGAGGGCAACACTTGTGTTAACCAAACACGCAGAAGCGAAAGTATCAAGACTGGACCACATACTGACGCACTTGCCGTGAGATTCTGAGATTGCATTTCTTACCCAGCATCCTTATTTCATGTTGTCGTGCTTA